AGTGTATAGTGTGTGACTTTAGGGCTTTTGTTTTGAAGTAGGCCTGGACTCAATTTGTATGTGCACAAACTGCAAAGCAGGTTAATTGGCACAATAGTGTGACTCTTTATCTTTCTTTTGTTTGTGCTACTTTTAGATCTCTTTCTCTTGTACAAACTACCTTTCTGTTGAAAATATTAGCCTTCTTATGCGTTTGGTGTGAACCAGGCTAGTTGCCAAGACAACCCAGCTAGAGGGTGAGAAAGTGCAGAAAGAGGCCGAAGTACAGAAACTTATGGAAGAGAATGTGAGCTTAACAGCTCTTCTGGACAAGAAGGAGGCTCAGCTTTTGGCCATGACTGAGCAATGCAAAGTGATGGCCCTGAGTGCTTCAAATATCTAATTTGATTGGTATATCTTGCTTTCCTGCCTGTTATCCTGCAGTGCAACAGTGCAAAGTTCTTTGCTTCCAGCAGACTTGCCAACCAGCCAGAGGAGAATAAGGGCAACTGGAGATGCTGGCTTAGGTGGTTTCTGACAGATGTTTTCCTGAAAATGTAACATAATGAAGATCACATTTAACTTTATTGTTGCCGCTGTTGTGCTTCTGAGAATTGAACCTGTAAGTGTTGATCCCATATTGTTGTGCCATTGAATGGAATTTGGTCTGTTGCTCTAAGTTTTAATATGTGCATCGTTTCTTTGTAGTTGATGACTAAAATCTGACCCCTCTCTCATTTTTCTTATGGATATGCGACTAATGGCTCTCTCTCTATTTTGAAAAAGTGAAACTGGAACAATTAATAAGAGACAGAGGGAGTATTGAAGTAAAATATCTTCGCGTGAAACTTGGAAGTTTTAGTAGTTCTTTATCCGACCTCCTAGGAACGTGTATGAACACTGGGCTTTTTTTTAATTGTTATTTATTTGTTGGATAAAATTATTAATTTTAATTTTATGTAAAAATTAAAATAAGATAATTAAATTAGATTAGAAGGAATAAAGAGTGAAATACATTTAATATATGGAAGGAAGAAGCAACTAAAAGCAAAGTTCATTAATCTTTATCCCTTCTTGGAATGAACTACGATTCATGTAGAAACGTTCATTATCTGTAACAATATTTTAATGTTATCTTTTGTGAAAAAAAAAAAAAAATCAAACCCCTTATTTGTATTTTATATATGATTTTTTTTATAATTAATAATTTCAAATTTTTTTTCTCAATTATTATCTGTTATAATTTAAAACTCATAAAACAATTTAAAAATTAATAATCAAACCCTTATTTATGCCTTAATTTTATTAATAATTAAATTTTTTTATGAATTTTAAATTATAAAAATAATTAATTAAAAATAACAATTATAAAAAATATTAACTATATAAAAAATAATATATAAAAGTTATCTTTAGTGACATAACTAAAAGAAAATCACTTTTAAGTTAAATAATACCGTAAAAAACGGAAAAGAAAAGCCAAAGCTAAAGGCATCACGTGGCATTGCACTTCCACTTTTCAAAGACAGAATGCACAAAAGGTCCGAAGATTGAACGACTTAAAAAATGACGATGCAAAGTTGCGTCATGGAGGCAGCTGCGCTTTTCTCTCTTTCTTTATTTCTTTCTTCTTCTCTCTTTTTTTGGGTTAACTTTTCTAATTTTTATTAATAATGAAAAGTTTACACTTTAGACTGAGGGAAGTTACCCATCAACATTCAGTGCAAATCAGTAGCTCCATTTATAGTGAAATTTACGTATTACTAATTATTTATTATAGGGACTGCTTGTCGTTAGATACAAATATAATAATTAGTCATTAAAAATTAAAATATTTAAATTTTACCATCTTAATCAACTCTGGTGAATTCCTAAATTTATTATACATAGCGAACTCAGAAAGTGAGTTAAAAACTTTAAATATAACTTAAGTCCCAAGTTATTAGGAGATTTGTAGTGACTCCACAGGAGTTGGCTTCCATACGTCTGAACTAATCTTTTTGTATTTAGGCTTTGTCAATCATGTATTTTAATGATATAAATTAAATGTATATTTATTATATTTTTAAATATTAATTTGTTTAGAAAAATAAAAAATTAATATTAATTTTAACATTTATATCATGTAGATGTTTTTAATTGGATAATCAATAAAATTAATGTCAGCTTTTATTTTTTAATATAAGAAGAGTATAATAAATTTATTCTTAATTTATGTTTTAAGGTATATATTAAAAAAACTTTTGTATATATTTTAAGGATTTTTTTAATTTACACATGTTTACACCCAATTTTATAACAAATAGAATAGTACGATATGTCATTTATATTAACAGGTATTTTGTTTGTTAAAAAATTATTTTGTTCGTGTAGATTTCTCTTGAAAAAGTTCATTGGTTGTTTCTACATTATCAACAAAGCCATTCAATTGTTGCGAATTTTTAGGAATATAAATGACAAAAATAATGGGTTAGTTCAATTTATTATAGATTTCATGTTGCCGTTAGTTTTCAAAATGCTATCGTAGATCCCCAACATGCTGCTAAGGGGTGTTTATTGCTATAAATATATGGAGATGTAATCAAATAAGATAGACTTATCTCTCGCACAACAAGTTTAGCATTATTTCTTTTAATACCAAAGTTTATCTTAGTCTCAAATCCCTTAGTTTAGTTTTAACTCTACATTTCAGCTTACGTTAGTCTTCAACCTTAGTTTAATGTCTTTTCCTTTAGAAATCTGAAAAATTAGTTATAGTTCTCTAAGAAAACAATTCAATTCCCTTTTTGTTGGTTTTATAATGGTAAAACTCGTTGCCTTCAGTGATATTTCTTTGTAATTAAATTGCTTCCTTTCGTCTATTGTTTTCGTAGGTTCTTTTAAATTGATCAAGTGAAGTCGATATTCAATTTTATGTTTTGTTTTGTTTCTATTGATTTCTATTTCATGCTATGGATAGACTTTCGATGTTTTCTGCCTCATTTACTTTAGCTTAATTTATTTTTTTATATTTAGTTTTCTTTTTGAAAGCTTTATTCTAATTTAGTCTACATATTTAAAATTCATTTAGATTTTTAGTAGCTTGACAATCATTTACTTTTCTTACTGTCTTAGTTTTTCCTATGTTGATGTGCCAAAATGGATGAAGCCGCCATCTATCCAAAATAAGGTGGAATAGATCATCAAGGTTTGCGTAAAAATTGACTAGGATCAAAGGATTGGTTAAGCGTAAGGAAAGTGTTAGGCACTTCACAATTTCTATATAAAAATTGTTACCGCATATTTTAATTTTGATGAATTTTCAATTTTTATAAAAAAATTACCAAAAAAAAAAGAATCACTTTCAAAGGAAATAAAAACCTGTCCTTATCCTTTTTGCCGTTTCCGTTTTTCTTTCATTTTTTTTTCGTTTCTGTTTATTATCTTTTTTTCTGCACTTTTCCTCAATTTGTTTCTGTTTTCTACTTTGGATTACATGAAACAAAAACTTTACAGGCATAACTCCTAATAATAACGTGAGGGAAACAAATGAAATCAGTTTTGCGGCAAGAACACAATCTATAAACATTTTCTTTCTCAAGATCAATTGAAAACCATGAAAAGAAACAATTTAAAATGGAAACCAAGCAATTACCAATAACAAAAGAAAGGAAGAAAAAGAACAGAATATGAAAAAAAAAAAAAAAAAAGAACACTGCACACCTGAAGAAGATAGGAAAAATAAAGATTTTATTTTCTTGAAGTCCAGATACAAGCTTTTGTATTTTCCCTTTCTTCTTTGCTCTCTTCCTCCCTCTTGATCTCTCCAATTTTCCTTCCAAACTCGCCAATTTTCTCCCCTCTCCCTCAATTTTTTCTGAATGCCCCCCTAAAGCTGAATGCTCCCTTTTGATAGACAAAGGGAAAAACCCAATCCTAATGTACTTCTAATATCTAATCCAAATCCCTAAGATAACAACCCAATCCTATTTGGAATGGGATTTCTTAGTTTTTCCCACATTTATCCCTTTTCCAGTCTAGATTCATACCTTTTATACTTAGAACTCCCCTTTTTGAATCAATTTTGAACTCTTCTTGTGTGCCTCTTGTTGATGACCTCTAATCTTAGCTTTTCATGATTACATTTGTTTGGAGGAGTACTTAGAGACATATCCAAGGCATTTAATTGTTTAACCCATTTAGTGTAGGAAGTTTATCCATCATTTTTGCCAATTGTTTGATCATGAGGTACAGTCTACGAATTCTTCCATCAACTCATGATTGAGTTCCACAATTGGAAAGAAGAGCGGGTTGTTGGAAAAATCTTTCTTGTTTTGAGTAAAACAAGTAATACATGTTACGTGTCAAAGAGATTTTTTGGGATAACAATACCTTAAGGACACAAGTTAAGAAAAAGTGAATTCCTAGCCGCCGCTCTCTATCAAGTTAGGGTTGGGGTTTGTTTTGGGTTTCTTCCATTGGGATCTCTCTTCCTTTGGGGGAGTTTCTTTTCTCCCCCTGATTCATCTTCAATCCATCATTATCTCTAAAGCTATTCTATTTTTAATTTTCATTTTTTTTGTCGTTATTTTCATCTTCTCAAATTGTAGTTAGTTTAGGTTTCCGTTGTTGATTTGCATTCTACAATCAAGGTTTGAAGAGTGGTGTTTTCAAGGTTTGCAAAGGATGGCTAAAAGGATTTTGGCTTCATTGGTGGTTTTGAATGGCACAACAAATACAATGGAGGAAGATATGGGTTTATTATTGAATAACATTCATTTGCCTGTTGGAGAAGGAAGGGAAGTTTCCTTAGTTTAGGAATGGAATTCATAGATGAATAACAAGGATGATTTCTATCTGCTTGGCAAAGTTCTCACCAAGAAAAGGATTAATCTTACGAGCTGAGCTTCACTAGCACCATGAATCTCTCTTGGAAACTAAAGCAGGAGATGAAGATCATTGAGGATGGAGAGAAAATTTTCCTATATCAATTTTCCAATAGATTTGATTTAGATAAGGTTTTGCAAAAAGGCTTCATGGAACTTTAGCAACTCCTTTATTATTCTAAAGAGGGTTTTAGCAACTCTTGAGCGGAAGTAGCATGATTACAGTACTAATCCATTCTCAATTCACCTTTACAAGTTGCCAATGAGATTGAGATCAGAGAGGGTGGTAAGAGTTGTAAGTAGTTCAATTGGAATGGTTCTTTGAGGTGGATGAGAATCATTGAAGATCTCTTTGAGTTTGAGTTAATCTTCTAGTGGGTAAGCCTTTATGAAGAACCTCAACCATTAGGATAACTAAAGTTGAGACTAAAAAGGTAAAAATTAAGTACAAGCAACTTCCAGAGTTTTATTATGTTTGTGGTTGTATAGGGCATATTGAAGTAGATTGTGATATTGGCTTCCATTAAAAGGAAGCTAACTACAAAATAACAAAGTTTTATGGACCATGGCTGAAAGTATAAGTTGATAGTTGGGGTCTAGAGTTTGACACAGGAGTAGAAGTTAACATGGATATTGTTGTTGGAGATATACAAGTAGATAACTTTATAACCATCAGTGCAAGCCAAATAGAAGGGAACAATGCTTCTACTATAAGAGAAACTATACTTGAAATGGCTTAGCCTCTTGCTACTGTTATGGGAGAAACAGCTCCTGCAAGGAATGTAGAAAGTGTTGATATTTTGCCGGCTTTGATGGATGATTAGTTAGTGGGGGTACCTTTAGTCCTCGGCTTAGGTGGTGTTAAACGATTAGTAAATCAAAGGAATGGAGCAGAATGAGGCAATGGCAAATGAAAAAGAATAAGATGTAAGGTGGTGAGGTGGGGACCTTGTTGTAGGTGGACAAACCTATCCAAGGAAAAAGAAAGAGTAATGCAGCATTTTTGGAGACACAACGGGCTAACAAGGTGATTTTAAATAATACAAGGGGGGCTATGATCCCTAAGGAGGTGGATGGTGTTACAGGCACTCCTTTGGCCATACACATGGATAATTTCCATCTATCTTTTGGTTAAAAATCAATTATGGATGGACATAGCATTGTAATGCTGGGAGACACTACATTGCCAACTCAATTGATCTCTTATGTTAGGTTTGGGTTATAAAATAGATGTGATCACCAGCAGTGTTATTAAGCTTTAGTGTAATCTTTCTATATTCTTATATAACTCTATTAATACCTTTATGACATATACTAATATTTAGAAATTCTTAATTTTTAATTATTTTTATTTGTATGGAACACTTAATTTTATATGTTACTGTCAAAGACCCTTCCAAATTTATTTATTTTTCTTGATCAGCCTATATGGTAAAGTATAGTTTGTATTATAATTGTCCTTCAATTATTAATACAACCATACTTTTTATATATAAAAAAAAGACACTTGTTAAGAGTGCAATTATTGCATATTTTTATATTAATTAGTATTAAAAAAATATAAAAAATATTATAAATTTTATCACTAGTATCATATGAATCATTTTATTTAAATAAAGATTAACTTTTTTTTTTCAATACTAATTATTTCATTCAATTTTACTATACCTAACTTTCTATTTAAGTTGTTTAAATTTAGTTATTT